GAAACCGAACCGAACTTTTACTTTGGTTATGTATTTGGTTTTAGGTCAAAACCGAACCGAAAGAAATGAACCCACCCCTACTCAGAATGGTAAGAGGAGCACAATTGTCATCCAGTGGGCCAAAATCTCATGACCCACATACTCAGAAGACTAAGAGGAGCACAACTGTCATCCAGTGGGCCCTCTGTCGGCCAAATGGAACCCCATCGGCCAAAGAAGATTTAACTCAGAATATGATCCAGAAGCCAGGAGAACCAGGGTGCCCCCGTCGGCCAGACGTCCATCGGCCAGACCTCCGTCGTCACAAAGAGCTCACAGAGCCAAACTTCCATACTTAGCTAATATATTCGAATGTACTGACCCCAATAGAGGCCTTATATTGTAATGGGCCACATACTCAGAAGACTAAGAGGAGCACAAATGTCATCCAGTGGGCCCTCCGTCGGCCAAATGGCATCCCATCGGCCAAAGAAGATTTAACTCAGAATATGATCCAGAATCCAGGAGAACCAGGGTGCCCACGTCGGCCAGACCTCCGTCGGCCAGACGTCCGTCGTCACAGAGAGCTCACAGAGCCAGACTTCCATACTTAGCTAATATATTCGAATGTACTGAGCCCAATAGAGGCCTTATATTGTAATGGGCATCCCAAGCCCAAGACTTGGGAGTCTAGCCCATATTTTCCCTATAAATACTCCTATTGGGAGCCATGTAAAGGGTTGAAAATTCATTAATACAAATCACTTCTCTCTCTAGCTCTCTCTTCTCTCTAAGAGTTAATACTCTATCAAGAATCTTGTTAATCAAGTATCCACAATAAATAAAATTGACAAATATAATGTCCACGTCAAATTAAAGGTCCGAGTAAATTATTCTAACCATAGCAAAACTAAATGAAGAGTTCAAAACATAGACCATAACACGATGCATAAAGTAAACAATTTAAAAAGATAATTCTGGAATAAACAGAAGTCCAATCAAGCAAAGGAATAATAGTGCAATGCCAGAAACATAGAAAGTAATTAATGTTTTTCTTCTAGAAAATTGCCAACTTCTAAATGGGTTGAGCTGTCAGGCTTATCAAGGAGGTCATCATCATCAAAGGCAAATTGTGTCTCAACGTTGTGCCCTTTATTATTTAATGGTTGTTGATAGAGCTCCATTAGATGCTTGGGCGTATGACATGTACACGACCAATGATTTCTTGTTCCACATTGAAAACATGTATTCTTCATCTTTTCTGGACCACCATTACCATAATTCTCAAAATTTTGCCACTTCTGGTGGCAAGATGGGCCCTTGAAGTGAGTGACCCGACCACCTCTATAATCGCAACTATCCTGATGAGTGTGACAACCACGATGTCCATGATTGCCACGGTAACTCCCCCTACCACGACCTTGCCCATGCCCCCGACCACGACTACTGGCGTGATTTCTTTCCTTCCTGTTGTTATTGGCCACTGCATTCGCTTCAAGGAATGGTGTTGGGGTAGAACCAGTAGGTCGAGTTTGATGATTCTTCAAGATCAACTCATTAGTTTTCTCAGTAGCAAGTAATTGATTTATCATATTAAAATATTTTATATACCCTTTTTCCTTGTGCTGTTGGGACAAAACATTGTTTGATGGATGAAAAGTGGAGTATATTTTCTCAAGCATTTCACTATCAGTTATTTTAACTCCACATAGCGTTAGCTAAGAAGTAATTATGTACATGGCTGAATTACAATCAACCATAAACTTAAAATCTTGCAACCTTAAATGTGTCCATTCATAACGGGTCGTGGGAAGTATGGTTGTTTTTTTATGGTCATACCTTTGTTTAAGGTTTTCCCATAGTTCTAGGGGGTATCCCTCAATTAAATATTTACACTTTAGACCTTCATGCAAGCGATGTCTAAGAAAAACCATAGCTTTGGCTTATGTTTTCTTTTGATGTGGTATTACCAAATTTTACGGTATCACCCAAGACTTTGGCATCTAGGTGAATTTCAGCATCTAGCACCCATGACAAATAGTTTTCCCCGTTAATGTTCGGTGCAGCGAATTCAAATTTCGCGAGATTTGACATGGTGATAGCTATGAAAGAATATATGGATTAATTGACAACGCAAGGGTCATCAAAATCTGGGGAAGAAAGAATACATGGAAATTGGCAAAAGACCTAGCGCAGATGTTGCATTGAGCTTGAGCATCGGCAGAGACTCAAATGCAGACGATTGGAGATGCCGCGCAGCGAGGACGATGGTCGTCTATGAGGCTTTTGTTGGCTGACAGATAATCCTTTTCACATAGGGGATGGAAGAGGCCTGACAGGTCCTCCTTGATTGATGGAGCTCGATTGATGAATCTCTGGAGCTCTGCGAAATCGACAGAAATCGATCAATCAAGGGCGGTAACTGAAAATGCTTGGAATTGTTTGAATAGCTTTGTGCAATCTGATTTTGTGGGGAGCGGACGTTACGAAAGCAGTGCTAATAACGTAGTATAATATGATTAAGAGTGTGTACAAATGGGGGAGAGTAGGGATATATATAAGTACATGGGCCCAATCAAGTACTCATGGGCTTGGGCTAGGGGGAGTAATGTATCTTTATACATTACATAACAATGGTGAAAATATGTCTTACTTTATGGGGCGTTGAGATAAGCTTGAGGCACAATGTCTCTATTAGTGACTTGTTCACATATATAATAGTGATTCATCTTAATGTGCTTCGGATGTTCATGGAACACATGGCTCATTGCAATACATCAGGTTGTTTGATTTCACAAAGTATAGTTGTTAGGCCCAATTCATACAATCATGCATACCAAATCCAACATCGTACGATGTAGCCATAGAACTTCACTCACTTTGAATCCATGACACAATATTCAGTTTCAACTGCAGAATAAGATACAACAATTTCTTTCTTTGTTCTCTAAGAAGTAGTTGATGAACCAAGAGTTATGAGATATTCGAAGATGGAACGCTGGATAAAGGAACATCTTGCCCGATCAACATTACAAAAAACTTGCAATTTAATATCACATGTAGAAGGAGGAAAAATCCCTTGTCTTGAAGTTCTCTTTAACTAAAAAAGTGTCATAATTTTTATGTGGCTTGACGTGGACAACTATGAAATCAAGTAAGGCGATTGAAAAAGAAAACAATGCTCGGTTGAGAATGGTTGAGAAGTTTTTAATCAACTTTATTCAAAAATAGTCAATATATGTTTGTATTGACTGAGGATCAAACTATTAAATTCCTATGAAATTGAGCAGTTCACTTCAATTCCTATGAAATATTTAAGCGTTCCCAAGTATTTTATGCTCAACTTGTCATCCTAAATTTGTTTGAAAAAATTGAAACAAGTGGCCAAGTTGTCCACTAAAATGGTATCATCGACATAAATAAGTGCTGAAACATAAGAAGTACAAAGATAATAATAAGTTTGTTCTAGAATGACGGAAGCCAATATAAAATTGAGTTTGAATGAACTTATGATACCATCTTGTGAAAGCTTTTTGAAGCCTTTATTTAAAAATTATGTCATTTGGTGATTCAAGTGTCTCCCCTTTTTTATGCATGTTATAATTTAATAGATACTACATATATAAATTTACTAAGTCAGGGGGAGATATAAGGATTTAAAAATAAATATTTACAATGGAAGTTGGTGGTGTGGCTCACTTGGTTGACCACCCACCCCATGCCTCTCTTTTGCGAGAGGTCTTGGATTCAAATCTCACCAAGGAAGATAAGGGAGGTCTTGCTCCCACGATTCTCCTTACATTCACGTAGTAGCAGCAGTAGCTCAACATCAAAAGAGGGGGGTGTTATGAAGGTAGCAGGTTCGTGTGGTGGGAGGAGCAATCCAGTAACAAGTGATGCAAGTCATGCTGAATTCGTGTTTTAGAGCTAATATAAGCAACAGTTGATAGTGATCAAATCTGCATTTACCAGATTTTGGAAGGTAATTCATAAACTACATGAATATAAAAGTATAAGTCTCGACACATGAATATAAATAATACGGAAAGAGAAAAATGAAGGGTCCAAAAATAGATGTTAATAATTCTACCAATACTTAACTATTGTAAGAATCATAGTAATCATCTGTAATACGTAGAAATATTCGCATTGGGCCCAATGATAATCCGGTAAAGCCAATTTTATTTTTCACCAAAAAATTATGACTCAATTTTTTAGTCATTAGTACTAACTATTATTTTCAACTATTAGATGTTAATTTTACTTCGAATGTAGACTCTGAAAACTCTTTCTTTTCACCTCTAACACATATCTAACCATCCATATTAAATCATCATAAAAATCACGAACAAGCTTGGGGTAATTTAAAGCTTGTGATGATCTAATGGTTGAAAACAGTTAATACAAATGAGCAAAGTTATAGGGACCAAAAATTAAAATTAAGCTGAATTGTCAGAAATCTGTGAACAATAACTCTAAGATATAAAAAGTGCTCTCTCACTTTAGAAAAAATACGGATTAGTATTTTGGAAATTAAAAAAAATGTTATTTTTCTTTAATTTCGTGAATTTTAGAGAACTTATATATGGATGAATGAAATATCATCAATGAAGACAGGTTTAAATGATACCTTAATATATGATATACACTAATTAGTTTCTTGGGACAGAATTAGTAACTTACATTAAACATTACTGGTTGATTGAACAATTATAAAAGCTTATCTATATGTTCATCATCCAAGGACACAAAATAAAGTCTCTAAAATGTTACTCCCTTCGTCCCGCTAACAATGGGACGAGAGAATGACACGCGAATCAATAAAAAGTAGTTTATGTGGTTGATATTGAATTGATAAAGTAAGAATGATTTAGAACCGTATAAACTTTGCCAAATTTTGTATGACACAATTTTAGTGGGACATACCGATAAGGTAAAATGAGACAGAAAGAGAGAGGTACTAGTTTGTTGAGGCACAATGACAAATACCATGGATCTACCTTATTTGAGTCTCACTGAAAATCGAGAGAAGTCAAAACAAGGCAATGTGGACGGAAATAGCGTCATTGACAATCTTTCGAGAACAAAACAACTGTCAACTGTGCACTTAATAATAACTAGAGAAAACAAATGAATGATGGGCTGAACCGAAAAATCTTTGGTCTGAAGTCATCATCACCGTCCTCACTTCTTGCCACACTCCAACCTCTCCTTCTTCTTGCATTCGTTTTCTCTTTTACGCGATTCCTCCGATCCCCATATCCCACTTTTCTGAAGTCAAGGAGGTAGAAGAAGAAGAAGACAATGGTCAAAAAGATATTCTTGATTGATGTATAGCTCTATGCTTAAGCAGCTTAGGAGAGAAAAAGTATTGTTCCATAGATGCTCTGAGTGATCCAGAGGGAAATCCACCTGAGGGATTTCTTACTTTCATGACTAGGTTTTCTTCAGGTAGGCATCATCTCTGCTATAATCATGGTATGGGAAGTACTTTCGTGCTATTTATTGTGGATCTGTAGCTAAGTTGCCTTCTTTCTGATGCCTATGGTTGGGTTGAAGGGGGTTGAGTAGTTTCTGATTGTATAAGGCCCCGTTTGGTAGGCTTAATCTTCTTATATGTAGAATACACATCTTTCGACTTACTTATTTGGCTCAAATAGAACTTCCAAACACTTCCCCTTTCAGAAAGTTCAGCAACATATACCAGCATGCCCTAATACCAGAGTTTTTTTCTAACTGTAATCGAACATGTTTAACTACATTTGGTTGAACATCTGAGAAGGAGAACTTAATTTTGATTTTATTTTTCGAATAGTTTGACAGAGTTTCTGTTTTATTCCTATAAGAATATATATTCTCCCTATTTTATTATAAATTTAGTTTTTAAATCTCCATAGGCTGCATTCCTTAACTGCAGAATTGTATTGAAGAGAGGAAAAAAATAGAGAACAACAAAATGAGGAACAAGAGCAAGTGTAGGAAATCAACCACATTAAATTGCAATGCAGGGAGCAGGTGGGGAACTTTGGTATTAACCCTATTAGGCTGTCTTGTTTTGCTTCATCTATATTCTTTAATCCGCCAAAATGAACCCCAAATGATGGAGATGACTCAAACACATATTGTCCACCATGAACTGCTACAAGAGTTGGAGAAAGTTGAGGAAGTTTTTATACAACTCCCTCCACCAAGGAAGCGTTCACCTCGTGCTGCCAAGAGAAGGGGGCCTAAGAGGCCAACCACTTTGATTGATGAGTTTCTTGATGAGTCTTCACAGATTAGGAACTTCTTCTTTCCCGGTCCGAGGGATTCTGTGGACCCCAGGAAGGATTCTGGAAACGAAACACACTATTATTACCCGGGGAGGATATGGTTGGACACTGAAGGGAACCCGATTCAGGCTCATGGAGGTGGAATTCTACATGACGAGAAGACAAAAAAGTATTATTGGTATGGAGAATATAAAGATGGGCCTACCTACCATGCTCACAAAAAAGGAGCAGCCCGGGTATGTTTTCGATGATGAAATGGAAATTTCATCTCCATGTCTTTCCAATCTTAGTGAAAATATCTAGTTGCATGCACCCTTTTTTACTACTTATGTAGTAATGTGGTGGTAGAAACACAGAACTAGTAGATTATTTTCTTTTGTCACTATTTGCTGTGTAAATGATGTTTAAAGAACATTTGTTTGTTCTTCCAGAGTTCCAGTTGTTTACACATCTTTATTTTTGCCATTGGTTTCATACATGTTGCATTGCTTAATGCTATGTTTGCCTTTGAATTGAAAATTCTGCAGGATGTTATAACACTACTCTTCCCTATTGAGATTTTAGCATGTTCTATTTTAGTGAAGCTATAATAAAAGTATTGACATTTGAACCTTCCTCATATAATATGAAAGGGAAAACATGCTTTGTGTATTGGAAGTGATGCATAAGAAGCTATATTTCAACACATATGATTCATTTGGCCATTACTTGCTAAAAACAATTGAAAAAACTGTGGAAGGTGATAGTTAAGAGTGTCATATGACATATACAGTTACTTATAGATTAGTTGAATAAAATAGTAAATACTCCCTCCATATTATGTCACTTGTCCCAATAGTTATTTTTACAGAGTTCAATAGAGAAAAATTAGGGGTAGTGAACAGTGTAGAAAACATATAAAAAGTTGGAGAGAGTAGATTAAAAAGTATGAATTGGAATAAGAATATGTAGAAAACAATGAAAAATTAAGGTAAAAGTTATCAAAAATAGAGTTGGGGAAATATAATATAATACTTCCTAAAAAAGAATACAAAATATAAAAAGAGTTTAAAAGGGATCAGGATTTTAATCCTGGCTGAACAAAAGATATTAGTTGTACATAATATTAACCGATTTAATGTTTTTTTATTACATTACTAAACAACACAGTTCAAAATTGGTAGGGGTTTAGGATTCAATAAAAATTGGTAAATGTTCCCCAGCATTTACCCCACCAAGTTTGGTGGTTTTCCAACCGCAATTAAACAAGTAGGGGTTCAGGACCCTAGGTTGTAGCATCTTTGTCTCGACAGTAGACCTAGATTTGATAATCTCATTAGACCGTACAACACTTGTGCTCTACAAATATCTAAATTCCTCTCTTATACTATACGTACCACACTTACTGTGCTTTCTTCTGGTTTATCCTGGATTCCTGATCATATACCATTAAAAACGAAATCTCTCATACTCACTTGTGCTCTACAATTATTCAAATTCCTCTCTGATACTATACATACCGCATTCACGTTGTTTTCTTCTAGTGTATCCTTTATTCCTAATCATATACGAAAATGCCTATATTGGTCTGGCGGATATGCTATGAAGGAATGTTTAATATGTTTTGTGAACAAATGCAAAGGTATACGCCTTTAAAACGTTAACCATGAAACTTCTCAGTATAGTTTCTAATTTCCATGATATATGCTATGTTCATGATCCCGATTATTTTTCCCGCATTTCCATGATTTTTTTCCTTTAAATATATAGGCATCTTCTTAACTCCACATGATAAAAGATGGCAGTTCAGTTTTAGTAAGGTTTTAGGATGTCCATCTTTTATACGATGGATGATATGTGGGTAAGTTATTGACGTGGGATACTTTAAACAGACATTTACATCCCAGTGTACGTGTCATTTGATGACTTATATATCCCTTGCAGGTTGATGTTATTGGAGTGGGTTGCTACTCTTCAAGTGACTTGTGGACATGGAAAAACGAAGGCATTGTATTAGCAGCAGAAGAGAAAAACGAAACACATGATCTCTACACATTAAATGTTCTAGAGAGGCCAAAAGTAATATACAATGACAAAACAGGTAAATATGTGATGTGGATGCACATAGACGACACAAACTATACTAAAGCTTCTGTAGGTGTCGCCGTTAGCGACTCCCCAAATGGCCCTTTTGACTATCTCTATAGCTTTCGTCCCCATGGATTTGATAGCCGAGACATGACTGTCTTTAAGGATGACGACGGGACCGCTTATCTCATTTACTCCTCTGTAGAAAACAGTGAGCTCCACGCGGGCCCTCTCAATGAACAATACTTAGACGTGACTCGCGATGCGAGAAGGATTCTAGTAGGGCAGCACCGGGAAGCTCCCGCTGTGTTCAAGAACCAAGGAACGTATTACATGATCACCTCCGGGTGTACTGGTTGGGCCCCAAACGAGGCCCTAGCCCATGCAGCTGAGTCAATAATGGGCCCATGGGAAACGATTGGGAGCCCGAGTGTTGTCGGCGGGAGTAAAATTTTTCAACTCACGACATTCTTCTCTCAAAGCACGTACGTGCTTCCCTTGCCCGGGCTGCCTGACGTTTTTATTTTTATGGCGGATCGATGGAATCCGGCTGACTTGAGGGATTCAAGGTATGTGTGGTTGCCTTTAACTGTGGCAGGGCCTGTAGACCAGCCGCTCGAATACAATTTTGGGTTTCCTTTGTGGTCACGAGTGTCTATATTTTGGCATAAAAGGTGGCGTCTACCTTCTTCTTGGCAAGAAGAGAAGTGAAGAATTTCAGACGAACATAGGGGTGTTTGCTTTCTTCATTTGTATAACTTCATTGAAGTTGTGCCAGTAAGTAGTGTCACTATATGTTATCATCCCCCTGTTCATTTATTGTAGTGTCTTTTTATGTGATATAAGTTCAAATTAGCTGACAGTACAATGAGTAGTTGTAAATTACTTAAGTATAGAGCTTTGATGCGTTTGTTGTATAATTTCACAATTTCATTTGTTGTTTAGTACAGAGTACAATTTTGGGGTGTCTACACAGTTTGTGCTGCATTTGAGCGTAGCCTGCCACGCGACATGGGGCTGAAAAATTGTTTAAACAAGCTAAATAAAAAGGCAAAGGATCTGTCAAAAAGAATTGCTAAAGGAACAAATAGGCTAATGTACATGCTTGTAAATGCCACGTCACTAGGTAATGTGCCTATGCATCTAAGATGGCAACCTAGAAGTCAAGTAAGCTCCTGAGCCTGATCGTATTGTTTAATTCATTTCCTCAACCGTTAAAAATTGTCAAAATTATGAACAAATACATATATAAAATAAAGCACAAGTTGAAAATATCAAATATAAATACAAAATATGTATATTTTGCGGCAAATTTATAATAGAAAATAACATGACCCTGCATTGGATATATACTCTGAGAGTCATATGATATACTACGTAGTTGAGTTTTTTTATTCATTGACTTTTGTAATAGAAAGTTGTTTTAAGTCCCCTTTAATTCCACTTAGAGCAAAAATGATACTCAGCATGTTTACTAAGGGCATCTCCAAATGGGAGGTGGATTGTCAAAAAATGTCACACATCTCACCAAATAGACCCTTTGTGAGACAATGCATTCTTCGATGCAAAAAGAAATGAACTAGGTAGGGGTGCAAACAAGCCGAGCCGAGCCCGAACATGGGTATGCTTGAGCTTGATAAGAATTCACGAGCTCGAGCTCAATCTTGAGCTGGGGCGAGTTAAATAATTCGGGCTCGAGCTCAATTCGAGCTCTATTTGAGCTCGAGTCAAGTTTCGCTAATTATTTTTTATAGGTTTGAACTCGAATAAGATGCTTGAACTTGAGCTAAAAATATAATATGTGTACTTATTCATTCTCATTATTAGTTTATATCTCCTTTATCGACACTTTTATTCTTTATTTTACTGTCAATAAATATTATGGGTACATATTATAATTATTATAGATTATGGTTATAATAGTAATACTACGTACATGTTATTATTTTTGTAATTATTAATATTATAATATACTTCGAGATAAATATTGAAAATGCATAGTCCAAATCAGAATACATATTCCAAAAAAAAGTATATATATAATCATTACATATATAATTAGTATATATAAAATATGACACAAAGGCTCGCGAGCCACGAGCGTAAAATAAATAGGATTGAATTGAGCTTGTTAATTATTCGAGGCGAGCCGAACTCGAGTCGAGCTTAATATGACCGAAATCAAGTCGATCTTTTCCCGAGCGATCCACGAGCAGCTCGTGAACGATTTGACTCATTTACATCCCTAGGACTAGAGGGTGGTGCTCATGTGCATCAGGAGGTCTACTTTGACTCATTATTGACTTTTTCAATAATGAGTTTTATTTTGCACGTCCTTCCGATCCCTTCCGCATTGAAGTAGGGTGTTAATAGACCCTATCGTTTAATTACTTTTATCTCACAATTTCAATACGCCCTCTTCATTTGTAGGCGTTGGAGATGTTCGGAGCTAGCCCTCTTCATGTACATGATATGATTGTGAATTGAAATATTACACATTTGCATTGCATAGTCTAACATTTTAAGTACGTAATCATTGGTCTAAGATTAGTGTTATGAGACATCAATGACATTTTTAATTAAGACTTTATAGGTTATCTAATGGCTATTTGCTAAGTGATCGTGATCATACAAAGATACCAAGAAAATTCTATTAAGTTCACTAGACTTGTACATTTTGACTTGTATATTTTGATGATTTCTCAAAGTTAAGCATCACCGATATCTATTTATCTATAAGAAACGAAATGGTTGTTCAATTTACAAAAATGACCTCCATTCTAACGTGTCCTGTTCAGCTGAATTCACGCTTATTTTATCGTGCATCCACGTGGCTTCCTTTTCTATTCTATTTATCAATAAGAAACGAAATGGCTATTCAAATTACAAAAATGACCTTCATTCCAACGTGTCTTGCTCAGCTGAATTCATGCTTATTTTTTCGTGCATCCACGTGGCTTCCTTTTTTTCAAAGAGAAGAGAAAGAGCAAGAGAAAACCAGCGACTAATCAAAAAACCCCTCATGCGTACTCCTCCTGCGTACATACAATCTCTACCTTTTATAACTACAGGTGAAGAAAGAGAATATTTAAGTTGCGATTCTATAGACAAATCAGATGTAGTCGAAGCAGAAGCGCGCATTTGAAGCGCTCACACCAGAGTTTCTAAATTCCTTGAGAACATCAGGTCTCCCAAATCACAAGATACGACTTAAGGTTGGGACTCCAGTAATTTTGTTAAGAAATATAGACCAGTCAGAATGACTATGTAATGGAACTAGATTGATTATCACAAGACTTGAAAATCATGTCATTGGAACAAGAATCATGTCTGAAAGCTATGGTGATGATTAGATTTACATACCTCGAATAGGGATGTCAAAAAAATCCGGGCCACAATGACCCGCCCTGCCCGAGACATTTGGGGCGGTTTGGCCCGCCCCGTCTTGCAAATGGGGCGGGTCTGCCCCGCCCCATCTATACAATGGAGCGGGTCCGGGTATTAGTATTGACCCGTGCCGCCCCGTGCCGCCCTACCCCGACCTGCTCAATATATAAGTATATACATACTTTTTCTTAAATTATACTACAAGTATACTTCAACATACATATGTGTGTATACATTAAATCATAAATTCTTTGATCTTATAATATATATATATATATATATATATATATATATATATATATATATATATATATAGAGAGAGAGAGAGAGAGAGAGAGAGAGAGAAAAGATCAGGTGAGAAGTCTCTCTTAAAATGAGAAGTGAGAAGCAATCTCAGCCCTTGGATTTGCATCAAATCTTACAACACAGTAAACTTATAGACTGAATATAGGAACTTATAACCAATAAATCATTACTTATAAAGCTCTCCATCATAATCACGAAAATGCCACCGCGTCCAAAAAATTTCAAGGTTTCCAGGCTTATTTTTTTGCGGTGGCATTTTCGTAATTATTTTCGACGGGGTCTATAAGTTATGATTTATTGGTTAAAAGTTCGTGTTTTTAGTCTATTAGTTAAACTTCGCAGTATATTATATATATATATATGTATATATATATATATTAGATTGAGATGAACGACAGATTATCAACGTGTTCTCCCCCCCCCCCCCCCCCCCCCCCCCCCCCCCCCCCCCCCCCCCCCCGGAAATAACACTGAAAGTGGGAAAAGCGCCGGGGAACACTTTCCAATTTATTATAGAGAGGATTGCAAGTATCAATGTGTTCTTTATATAAAGTATTTTAATACATATATTCAAGTATTAATATTATTAAATAGATTAACTATTCAAGTCTAAGTGATTTTTCCTTAACTTTTGAAATTTCTAGCGTATCGTGAAATTGATTTAATATATTAATTTTTAATAATTATTTAAAGATAAACTTTATGTAGATTTAATTGGTAACAACTTCTCATAAATAAAAATGCATACCAGCTGATTAGGTTACGGCGGGGCGGGTCATGGGTCAATAAGTTTGGACCCGTGCAGGTCATGGGGCGGGGTGGACCCGCCCCATCAAGTCAAGGGGCGGGTCTGGGTCTTGCACTACCCGCCCCGACCCATTGTCATGCCTAACCTCGAATGTGTATGTGTCCTTCTCAATCATCATGGCCTTTTAAACGTATCAGAAGACAATTTCCTATAATGGTCACATATGCAATGACAATCAATAAATCTCAAGGACAGTCACTGGAAAGAGTTGGATTATACCTGCCTAGATCTGTTTTCAGTCATGGACAATTGTATGTGCCATTATCCAGAGTTCAAAGCAAACATGAATTGAAGATTTTAATACATGATAAGGATGGAAAATCATTAGACACTACTACGAATGTTGTATTCAAAGAGGTTTTCCAAAATCTCTAACATGTAAGTTTAATATTTTACTTTTAATAATTATTTTATTAACTTAATTAAACTTTATGATATTGACTTATTGTACTCCCTTTTAAGAACTATGACATTTTTTTAAAATTAGTTTCCTTTTGTAATTAATTAGATCTTATTATAAGTATATCCATCGATTATTTCCCGTGCATACGCACGGGTACTATACCAGTAGTCCTCAATAATATTAATCCGATTCTTCACATTGAAATGTAAATTAAAAACTTTTTGTAGAAACATAATGTTTTGTTGATGACAAACAACTAGTGTTACTTCTGGTCTATAAGTGATTGCAGGAAAGGAAGTTAAGTCGTGCTCTGGAACAAGCCGTAAAACTGAACCTAAAACTATCCTACAATCCAAAAGAGACGTATATGTTTTATTGATGACTAACCATGCAGATAGACCAGCCGATAGACCAGCGGAGTTCTATCAAGAACGGAAATCAGAACTATACTTAGTTCTGTTCTGAGTGAATAATTAACGTGCATAATGATTAAATGGATTAATATGTGATTGCATAATAATTCCTTATCTACTTACGTACCTATATTGATATGCACGAAAGTGGCACAATTCAAATATCTTTTCATAAATGATTGACACCCACTTTAGTAATTGTTCCTTTAACTTTATAGAAAGTAATTATGCCTTTTACTTTATAGAAAGTATCTTTAGCTTGCTAAACCAATGATTGCATTACTCATGTTTTAGTTGACCGCAACATGCTTATAATTATTGTCAAATAAATATTCTTTTGCTTTATGGTTTGAAAAGTTATCCTTGATTTAAGATATTAAATCTCCTATTGAAAGAATGTTGACTTGCTAGTAATATTTGGATCGTTGCATGCTTATATTTGACAAGCCAATATATTACTTCCTTCTATATAATATTATGTTATCTTGTCATCTTAATTTGATTGCCATTTTAATAAAAGTTGACCGTAGCTTTTCTAATGAGATATTAAAGTAGCTTGACTTGAAAATGATTGCATAAATATTTTATTGCTACACATGTTCGTTGCATGCCTACATGTTAAGTAAATCAATATTATTTCCTTATATGATGATTCGTGAATCATGAGTCAATTTAATCATATTTGAGAACGAATATGAGAG